GGGGGGGGGGGGGTGATCTGGTCAGTTTTGTCCTCCACCCTCTTTGCCCCCCACGGGAGCACATAGTAGGTACTCAGTGTTTGCTGAGTGAGCGAGCAAATGAGGGAGCAGGTAAGTGAATGGATAGGCGACCGACCCCAGTGGATGCTGACCACACCGGATTTGAAGAACGGAAAGGTGGCTTCCCGGGGTCTCTGAAATCTCCCGGAGAGGACAGTCACCGACCGGCCTCTTGGCTAGGTAAGACCTTGTCCTGGTGCCAGCCCGGCAACTGCCACCAGCTGGAAGCTCTGGATTGTCAGGGGGCACATGGAGGCGAGGGGGTGGGGATCGGAGCTGGCAATAGCCTCGGGGCCGCCGTAGCTTGGCTGAGATGAAGGATGGACAGGGTGACCGGGGCAGGAAGGAGGAATCAGGGCAGGGCACTCACCTCCCAGCTGTGGCCTGGGGACCTTTTCCGGGCCTCAAACTCCAGGTATCTTTCAATGTAGTGGGAAGACTGGCGGACTTTCCAGGTTATGTTGCATCTGTGGGTCCCTACGTGGGTGACTTGGAGGGAGTCGGGGGCCATCAGGCGAACTGGAAGCAAGAGAGGGACAGAGGGAGACAGGAAGGGAGAGTGGGCTTGGGGGACGCTGGGACACGATGCTGAGGTGATAAAACCGAGACATGCTGGGATTCCATGGTCGCCCTCTCCCTCTACCCGCTCCCCACTCATGCGCGCTCTCTCTATCTCAAAAATAAACATTAAAAAAGAGAGAGAGCTGCCTAGCTCTCGCCCTCTCTTCCTTAGAGATGGCCCCTCCATGGTCTGCGGCTGGAGTTGGACACCCAGTCATTCAACAAACCTTCCCGGAGCACTGCCCAGATGAGGCCTGGTGCTGAGTACTTGGAGTGGAGACAGAGGGATCACAAACACTCCGCCCTCAGGAGCTCACAGCCCAGTGAGGGGAACAGTCCCCTGATCAGGCAGTGAGGACCCAGGACCTAAACGCCCTGAAGGAGGAGGCACAAAGGGCTGGGAGAGTCTGGGAAGGCCTCCTGGAGGAGGTGACTCTCCCCTGAGCCCTGAAGGGTGGGTGGGAACTTTCCTGGTGGGAAGAGCCTTGCGGGCTGTGGCACCCGCACGTGCAAGGGCTCAGAGGCACGGAGGGGCACGCTGAATTCGGAGAGCTGGACTTTGGTCATGGCAGGAACACAAGCCACAAGAGGAGGAGTCCTAGATTGGGAAGCCAGGGCCAGACCCTGAGCCTCGAATAGCAGGGTAAGGAATCGGGACTGCATCCCGAGGGCGGCAGGCAGTGACAGCTCGCACGCGGGTGTGGAGAGAGACTGGGACAGGCAGGATCCCCCAAGGGAAAGACAGGGAAGGAGGTTCCCAGTCCGCCCCAGTACCCGCCCCCCCGCTCCCCCCTGCTTCCAGATTCTTCACTCACGGTTCTCAAAGGGCTTGAATTTCTGGGTCATCAGCACCCTCCACCTCTCCCCTTCGTGGCACATCACCCTCATGTCCACGGTGTCAGCCGAAGTCAGACTCTGAGTCTGCAAGGGGGGGGGGAGATACAGGAGGGGGAAGATCGAGACCCCAGTAAAAGTGGAGCCCCTCCGCAAGCCCCCCCAGCTAAAGCAGGGGGTCGGCCAACTTTCTCCGCCAAGGTGCAGATAGTAACTCTTTCTAGCTTTGCAGGTCAAGCGGTCTCGGTCACGACTACCCAGCTCTGTCGCTGTCCTGCGAAAGCAGCCAGAGACAACCCGCAGGAGAACGGGCGTGGCTCTGTGCCAGTGAATCTTAATTTACAGAAAACAGGCATGAATTTGATCCATGATCTAAAGCGGGATGGGCTGCCTCGGGGTGGGGGAGGGAGTTCCCCATCACAAGAGGTGTGCAAGCAGGTTAACCAACCCCCCCCCCACCACCGCCCCCGGAAACGTAGATCTGGAACAATAGCTTTGAGTATGAAAGCCTCCCTTCCTCCATTTCTCCCCACCCTCACACCCTGACTTTTGGGGAAGGAAATGGCCAGGTAGTGGGTATCCCCTGCGGGCAGGCAAATGCTCGGGTGCCTTGGCCACTCCTCCGGTGGATTCTTGCTGCAGGTGAGAAACCCAAAGTCATGCATCTGGTCAGCAGGGGTGTCCGGATTCAAACCCACGCCTCTGCACCCAGAGCCTGTGCGCTGTGCGAGCCCATCTCCACGTTCTCCTGCCCCTTAAGAATGGATATAACCTGCTGGTTCTTGGAAAACAGGGAGGGCACCTGCCCTCCCCACGGGCTCTCTTCTCAGCTCCCACTACTCACATCTGGGGATCCAAGGATCAGGTAACAGGCCCAGGAGGCCGATCCCATCGGAAGCAGCTCACAGGATTTGTTCCAAGACCTTCCAAGGGAAAAGAACCTCCTTAAGACAGAAGGAGGGCCCCCCAGAGCCGGCCCTGGGGACGGTCCCCCATCCAGCAGGGCCGGTCGGCGCGGGGCTCTGTGCCAACCTCGGCAGAGGCAGAATTCTGCTCCGCCTCCCGTCGTAGACACCTTCCCCAGCCCTCCGCAGCCCGGCCCCGCAGTAGCCACAGTGACCTTCTAGGGCAGGTGGCCTCCACACCGAAAGCCCTCCAGAATCTTCCTGTGGGGCTTGATGGAGCCTTTGGAACCCCGTAAAATCACCATCCACTCAGAGTCACCTTTGCCACGGCCACCCAGAACGTTTGGGTCACAGAAACCCCTCGCTGACTCCTCCTGGGGAGCCCCCTTCCTTCTCCCCCTTGGCTTCTCAAGTCCAGGGTAACCTTGGCATAACAGGTCTTACAGCTCTGTGTCCCCAGACTACGTTGTCCAGCCCATCCCTGGCCCCTGCACTGCAGCCTGGGCCCCTGTTCCTCACGCCCACCCTGGTCTCAGGCGTCTAAACATCTGCCTCCTAGCTTTTCCAGCCTAATGTGCTGCCAGGGGTCTGGGGGTCCCATCAGTCCAAATGCCCAAAACATAACATCTTGGCGTCTACAAGGAGGGCATTCCAAGAGTCTAAATGGCAACGATTAGAAGACCCACCCTGCCCCGCCCCCCGCCCCCGTCTCGAGATGCTGTGGTTTCTCGGGACACTCACCGTTGATCCGGCTTAGCGTGGATCCTACAGGATGTGGCCTGTAGGTCCCCATCCCAGCTCCAGACACAGGAGATGTTGGCTTTTGAGTTGTAGAAGCACGCGAGCTTGGAGGGGTCTGCCAACAAAAAGAGGCGTGAGTGGCCGGCTGTAGGGTGCCCTCCGGGGCCGGCCTACCACCCTGCGCCCTGCACCCTGTGCCCACCAGATGGGCAGGTAGGCGACCCTGCTGGGCAGAAAAGGTCTGGGTGGATCCATTTCAGAGAGGACAAAACTGAGCCCCAGAGCCTGCAAGGTCCCAGAGGCAGGCCGAGGCAGAGCAGGGACGAAAAGCCAGTGTCTTCCTTTGGCGTGGAGGGACGTGTGGATACAGCAGGACAGAAGGACCGAGGGAGAAGGTGGACGCCTGATCTCTGGTCCCATCGCCCTCGCCTTCCTCCCTCCCGGCCTCCTGCCCCGGCCGAGAAGCGGGGGTCCTGAAAGGGCTTCTAGATGGCTGTTGGCCACCTTCCCAAGAAAAGCACGGCTATCCAGATGCAGGGTCCTCACCGTTCACCGCTGTGGATGACTGAGGGATGGCCAGGGGCAGGAAGAGGACAAGGAGGGACAGACACCAGGGCAGACCAGGAGCTGCCATCACATCCATGCGTGGGAGCTAGGGAAGGGAGCCCTGGAGGGAGGAAGAAGAGAAGGCACAAGTGAACACCCGCCACTCCGGGCGGCGGGCTGGACCCTACAAAGCCAGCACCGTCTGGCCTCAGGGCCTTTGCACCTGCTGGTACCTCGGCCCCGCCCACACACTCACTTCCTTCCGGGATTCAGAGCCCCACACGTTGTCAGAGCTGAAAGGGCCCTCTGAGCGAACCCAACCCCTTGTTCAAAAGCTGGAGGAACTGAGACTCAAAAAAAAAAGGGAAGACTGCTCCAGTCCACACAGCGAGGCCAGCACAGAGCTGGGATTAGAGCCCCCCCCCCCCCCAGTGCCCCGCTGCCCCTTAATCACACCAAAACCCGTTCATCGGGAGGCTCCTGTAGGCCGGGCTGTTTTCAACTCTTTAAATGAAGTGATAAGGCCATCTACCAGATGATACCCTTATTATCTCCATTTTCAGGTGAGGAAACTGAGGCACAGAGAGGTGAAGCAACTTGCCCAAGGCCATAGAGCGGAAAAGAGGCAGCTGTGGAATCTGAGCCAGGACGGGGCCCAGGCAGGGACTCCGGTAACTTGTCCCACCCCCCGAGACCGTTCACACGACCGACCGAAGACACGAAGACACGTACTGATGACCTCACAATACTCACGGACCGAGCGCTTTACATACATCAGATAATCTCATCTGCCCAGCAGCTCGTGGGGTGGGTGCTTGTCTTAGCCCCTCCCGCAGATGAGGAAACTAAGGCTCCGCGTCCTCAACCCGCCAAGGTCACACGCGCAGAAGGGGGCAGAACTGGGATGTCACGGCCACGTTCACCCCCAAGGCCTGTTCTTTCACATCCTCTGTCCCTGCCTAGACCCTGTCCGGGTCCCAGAGGTAAGGCCGACAGCCTCCCTGCCCTGGAGTCCGGGTCCGCCAGGGGCCCAGGCCCACAGTCAGGCCTCCGGCCTGGGTTCAAAAAGGAGCCCAGAGAGGTGCCCACAGGCTCCTCCTTGCTTGGCCCACCGTCCCCTTAGTGGGGTGGGCTTCCCAGCTGGAGTGGGGGTGGGGGCCGGTTACTTCTTTCCTTGGGAACCCCCGACAGCACAGGGCACAGGGTTGGGACCCTAAGGGGACCAGCAAGCCCTGCTGTGCCCCCTAGTCGCTCGATCGTGGCCTTGGGCACAGGCCCTGTCAGTCCCCTGGAGGGTGTCACCCTCGGCCAGCGCCAGCCAGCAAGGCAACCCCATGCCCAAGACAGGACCTGGCACAGAGCCCCAGGGTGAGGGGAGGAGGGTCAGGGCAAAGGCATACAAGATCACAGGAAGGTCAAGGCCAAACCACAGCCCCAGCAGGGGTGAGCTGGCAGGAGCAGAAGCATTATCTAGAATGAGCTCCCCACCGCTCCCATCAGAAAGGGCGCGTGTACTCTCCAAGGTTGCAAAGCACACGGGTGGGGGATGCGTGGGGGGCACCAGAGGGGCTTGGGGCTGGGAGGGCTCCTAGCCCACTCAAAGGAGCCTCAGGGAGGTTAAGGAACCTGCTCAAGGTCACGGGCCCAGCCTCAGGGACAGCAAGCAAGTAGGACCTCTGAGCCCCAAGCGCCCTTAGCCCTAGGTTCCCACGCACACCCACGCACCATGCCCTTCCCAACTGCAAAGCTGTCCACAGCCACACTGACTCATAGGTCCCCACCACAGCCCGGGAAGGTGGCTGTCGTCACCCGCCCCTTTGATGGATGCCAAGACTGAGCTCCGCACTGCCCAAGGGGCTGGACTCAAAGCCAGTCCTCTGATTTCAGGCGAGGAGATGATAATGACGGTGACAATGATGGTGATGACGGTCATGATGGTGACAGGGATGATGATGGCGATGGTGACTAATACTCGGCTCTCACTCTGTGCCCCGGTCCTCAGCACTCAGCAGATGACACTTCATTTAGCCCTTACAGCAACCCCGGGAGAAGGTACCATTATGACTCCTTTTCTCAGATGAGGAGGCCAAGGCCGGAGGGGGGGGGGGGGGGGGGGGGGGGGGAAGCTAGGGGTTGAATGGGTCATTACCGTCTGAGTTCCCGCAGGGCTGACGCTGCGGGACTTGGGGTGCTTGGGGGAAGGGGAGGATGTGAGGAAGGACCACTGACCTTGACGGGCTCTGTCTTCCCTTGTCTTCCTGGCCACACACACACACACACACACACATGGAGAGGGGGGGCGGTGGGGGGAGGGGAGGGGGCTTGCTGTTTAACCCCTGGGGCTCTAGACCCTGGCTGTGGGGCCAGGAAGGGGACCCTCAGAGCTGGCTCTGCCCCTCAGCTCCCCCACCCCCGAGGTGCTCCGAATACAGTTCAGGGCAGGAGGCCTCGTTCCCCAGGGCAGGAGAGAGGTGCCCGCCCCTCCAGAGGTGCCCGGAGACACCACTGAGCTGCCCCCTCACACGGCCAAGGGCGGGACAAATCCGGACTCAAACCTGCAGGTCTGGCCTCCCGCCCAGGGCTTCCCTGGCCACCCCGCTTCAGGGCCAGGTCTCAGAGAGGCCCCCCTCTCTCCTCTCCTGCCCCTCAGCCTCCTCAGGAGCACTTCACCCGGGGGGGGGGGGCGCCTTTCCATAGCTGTGAGGAGGGGGCTCGCCTGTGCCCCCCCACCCCACATCCCGCTGTCCTCTGTCTGGGGCTCAGCAGGCCTCCCGTCTCCCAGTCCTCCCGCCTCTTCCTTCACCCCTCTGGGTTGGAAGGCCCCTTGCCCCAGAGCAGCCCCAACGTCCCCAGGGATGGGCCGGGCAGGAGAGGTAGGTCCCAGCACTAGGGACCAGCATTTTTTTTTTTCCCCTCAAGCCAAAAGCCATGAGCTCAGGACCTGCCTCATTCCTGAGGGATTTCAAGCTAAGGCTGGGGGTGGGAGGGGTGGCCGGGAGAAGGAAGTCCGGGCAGATGACGTCCTGGGGCATCTAGGTGAGAGCTGAAAGCTGTCCCATGACCTTCACTTCCAGCCGGGGCTGGCGGCAGGGCCGGGAGCGAGCCCCTGGGTGCCCGGGGACCGAAGGGGGGCAGGGGCGAGGGCAAAGTCACCTGGCTGAGACATGGGGTTGCGGCGCACTCTCTCGGGATCTCTCCGCTGCTGGGTCCACAGCCATCTCCCCAGGGCCCTGCTCCGACTCAGACTCCCAGCCGCCCAGGTAGCAGCTGGCTGATGAGGCCAGCGAAGTAAAACCCCAGGGCCAGCCCACTTCCTGTGCAGAGAGGATGGAGGGGGCAAGGCCTGGGGTGGGGACAGGGGGGCGGGGGGGCGGGGGGGGGGCAGGGAGAGATAAGGCTGGTGAGAAACTCTGAAACTCCTAAAGCACCTAGAGGCCAGATAAAGATCTCCCTCCCCCGCTGCGGGGTGGGGGGGGGGGGCACCGTGGGTGTCTTGGCAACAGACAGACAGACGCACAGACAGACAGACACACACACACACACACACACAATCGCCCTCGCCAAGGCGCCTTGGTGCACACAGGAGCCCCAGGGGGTGCAGCCCTCCCTCACCCTCCCACACCCACCCCACCCCATCTCACACAGGTCACTGCAAACCTCTGACACCTTCACCCAGCCACACACACACACACACACACACACACACACTCAGGCCTTACACACACACAGGTGTCCTTTTCGGTGTTCCCGGTGCTTTTCCTCTTATCCTACCCACCTCTCCGAGACCTCCCTTTTTGCCCAGGTTTCCAGGGAGCCCCTTCCTTAGTTTAGCATCCAGAGGGAACTATTTCCCAGGGCTTTGCAAGCAATTTGAGGGCCACTTATTGGACATTCTAGAACCTTCCCTTCCTGCTCAGGTCATGCTTCCTACTCCTCCTCCCCCCCCCCCCCCCGCCCCGCTCTTTGGATCAGCTCAGGGCTTTTTTTTTTTTTTTTTTCAAATGATGAGAAGCCGCAGGGCCCCTCTTTAGAAAGGCGCACATCTATTCACGTGCAGCGTCCCAGGCCCGGGGACCTGTGAGGTTCCATCCAGCCCCCCGAAGAAGCAGTTCTGTGTTCTCTCGTTGTCCTGACCTTAATGCCCCTGCCTCAGGTGGGGGACTTTCTCATAAGCTGCTCTCTCTTTCAAAGAAAGGGACGGGGCAAGCAGGAGAGGGGTCAGGCAGCGCCAGAGACCCGGCTGTCTGCACAGAAGGCAGAGCGGAACTGATGACCCCGAGAAGAGAGGCAGACCCAGCTCCCTTCTGAGTCGAAGCAGAAGCAACAGGGCAGCATCCTTGAGAAGAGGATGACCTTCTTTGGGGCCTGCCCACAGAGCCACCCTGCCTTCCCAGGGGGAAGGAGGCGTGGTGGTTCCTGTGCCCGAAGCCCTCACCGTCCACCGCACGTTTAATGAACTCGCAATATTCCCTCCTCTCCCCTCCCCTCGAGCAAAGCTTTCTGGCTGCGGGGGCGGGTAGTGAACCACCCCCCACAAAGAGGAGAAGATGGCCAAGGTGTCTGGAGCCCAGAATATTTCTGGGAGCTTCTCAAGAAACCAGGAACGTTGGTCCTCCCAGGAAGGAAAGCCAGGTCAGGAAGGGGCAGGGAGAATGTTTTTTCACTGTAGACCCCACATGTACCACCGGCACGTACGTCCTGCCCCAAAATAAATGAACTCGGTTAAAACTTTTTTTAAAAAAACATATGAAAAGAGCGGCGCCTCGGCGGCTCAGTCGGTGAAGCTTCTGACTCTTGATTTCGGCTCAGGTCGGGATCTCACAGTTCGTGGGATCGAGCCCCGTGTCGGGCTCTGTGCTGAGTCTGCTCGGACCAGTGCGGAGCCTGCTTGGGATTCGCTCTCTCTTCCCTCTGCCCCCTCCCCCGGCGAGTAAATAAGGAAACATTTTTTTTTTTTAAATAAAATCAAAATAAAAACACGTATAAAGAGAAAAGACATCCCCGGGCGAAGCCAGAAATCACAAACGCGTCTTGTAATAAGGAGTCGGCACTTTCGTCCACGGGGACGGCATTGGCCTGCCCTGCGCGGCCTGCCTGAGACTCCTCACCTCCCCCAACCCCCTTTCCTTCTTCCGTTCTCTCATTCAAGTTCGGCAAACATTGGCCGAGCACCGAGATGTCCCCGCAGCAAAGCCAGGGACCGGCAGCAGGCCCCAGGCTGGCGTGGGTCCAGGGGAGGGAGGGGGGTGGCTCTAACCAGCCGGGTCCCTGGGAGTTGAGGGGCGGGTGCAGCACCGCGTGGCCTCCGCCCGCCGCGGCGGCTTGAACAGCGTAGTGAGGAGGGTCCTGCTTTGGCCAAGGGGCTCCGGCCAGGACCCCTGAGGTGGAGAGGCAGGGGCGGCTAGGGAGCCCGGAGAGCTTCGACCCTGCACGATCCACATCATCCAGCAGTCGGGGGG